AAGAACAGAAATGCTTATGTAACTCCATGTGCTATTTAACAAAGTTTGTTATACAGGCTGCACACTTAGTAATTCACACCCAGGGAGTCATTTGGTGACCCATGTGCCACTGCCAGTTTGTACAGGGCCCAGAGCACACAGATCTGCTGGTTCTGGTAAAATTCACAGCAACCTGGCATGGAAAATTAGATACCTAATAACAGACTTCTTGATCATTCTGCTTTTACTTACAAAAATAGCTCCTTCTGTGTAGGATCTTCCCAATTAAATTGCTTCTTCCTCAGAAGTTCAAAAAATTCTCCTTTCCTCCTTTAAAAGAAGTTAAAAGATTTTGCAGCGTGCTGACACAATCCGAACATCCAACAATGACTATCCAGCCAACTTGTCTCTGACTTACTTTATGTATAGTGCTAGGTCTGTGGCAAGAATGGCTTGTTTTATCATTTTCAGTGTGGCCTTGTATTCTTCAATGGAAAGGCTGCTGAGAATCTGATTTCCCTTTACGAAAAAACAAAACCAGTGTTATCAGTAAAATGGGCAACAGCACATCAGTTTACTAAAACGTATCTCAGACACTAAATCAGTATGAGTTGCTGGCTGGTATCTGATGTCATTCTTTTACCCTGCTTCCTTTTGCAGATTCCCCAATTTAAAAATAAAAATTCCAGTCTTCTTGAGTAATGGCAGAAAGCCGCAGAGCAACAGCATCATAATTGGCTATTACAGAATGAATTGCAAGCAGAGCAACATCAAAGCCTTTAAGTCCATTTCATTCATCAAAATTAAATTTGCCACTAGCTGGATTGTAGCATTTCCCTTTCCTCTTCCCCCCACTCCTTGAAACAGAGGAACTATAATAGATTCCAGTGTCTGCCTATACATCTCATGTAAATGAAAATGTTTTCCTTTTTTGAAGCAACATAAATAACAAGCTATTACATAGAAATATAAGCTCAGAAGCCCACTGTTAAACCACAGCAGTATGGAGCTGGTGAAATGGCATCTTGCCTCCACCTTTTTTCCCATATTTTCCTGTCTGAATAGGAAAGAATCATTACAATGCAAAGGATGCTGGAAGTACCATACCTGTGATATGAAATGAGCAGTTAAAATATACTACTTTGAAATGATTGTGCATGCTGAATAACTGGTCTTAGAATTAGTTAATAATATAAAACAAGAAGAATGTAGTTTTATTTGCATATTTACTTAACTTAGGTTTGGAATGTCAACATTAGCAGTGTTTGGTTTGGTCTCATCAGGACTGCTTTGTGTATGGGTAGGCCGGAATGTTTTTTGAAATGAGAGCAAGGACTTGGGTTTGTTTGGTGGTTCATAAGAGGTCACGAAAATGGCAACAAAGCCTTTTGTTTCCTTTGGTCCAAGGAAGCAGGTACTCAAAAGGATATTAGCAAGGCTTCCCTTATCAGGCAACACTTGGAAAAGTCTGGTGGCACTCAGCAATGGAACTGTGATTTCAAAGCTGCTGCATTTGTTTTCTTTACCCAAAAAGGAATAAAGATCATTTAGGAATGTATAAGAGTGGGAATCTATCCAAAGCTAAAAATAAAAAGTAAAATAGGGAATAGTTTCCTTCAGCATACATGAAAATGTGGCACTCACTGGACTATTCAGGATCATAAGGCATTGATCAAAATGGTGATGCTCCATGATTGAGTGGCAATACAGTTGAGCCAGTGGATGTTCGCTTCTGAGGAGTAAAAAGACCCATCAGATGGAAAAATCAAATTAAACATACCACTAATCCAGAAATAACTTCTCTTTTAATGTCCTCTTATCAGTTTACCCCCAACCACCCATGCTTGTTCTTAACCAGTTCCTTTCCCCCTTCTGTGTAACTGGCCAAACAAAATGCATACTTTTAGAAGGATGCAGGGGGAGTAGAGATAAAAGACAACGCGGTTACTTTTTCAGAGCACAGACAACTCTATTTTTCTGCCTTCTGTTACCTGTAGAGACCAGCTGCACACAAGGAGTGAGAATGTAATACAAGGTTTTATGGGGAGTGAAAGTTGTTGTATGGAAAGGAAAGGCAACAAGAAGAGTTCAGTCGCAAGCAAACTTTAAGTGACAGTTTTGATTTTTGTAATATTTTAAACACCTGCCTGGCATATTTAGTCAGCCCAACCACTGAGCTTCTAAGTAGTAATGCAGACCTAATCAGAA